TGGTTTGCAACAAACAAGAGAAAATTACTCTGTGAATGGTTAAAAAAAAAAAGAAAAAGAACTCATCCTTTTTTTGGGAGCACTGAACATGGTCTCATTGAGTTGGCCAGGCTGGCTTCTACCTTGACATCTCTATTTCCATATTGGGCTGCAGGTATGCATCACACCATCACGACTAGTTGGTTCATATTTTTATACATCATTTTTCTTTTTTAAAATAGCATTGGTTCTCTGGATCATTTCTTTTTCTGAGATTGTCTCCTGAGTCACAGAATCGCAGGCTGGTCTAGAACCCACTAATATACCCGAGAATGACCTTGCACTTCTGATTCTTCTGCATTCATCTCTAGAGTGCTATAATTATCCTGTGAACCACTACACCCAGCTTATGTAGTACTGAGGGTCCAACCAAGAACATCATGCTTGTCATGCAAGCACTCTATTATACCACCAAACTCAGGGGCTTGCTAGGCAAGTGCTCTACTGAGATAAATCCCCAACCCTATATTTTATTATTTTAAAAATGTATGGGGGCTGGAGAAATGACTCACTGATTAAGAGCACTGGTTTCTCTTCTAGAGGTCCTGAGTGTAATTCCCAGCACTAACATGGTGGCTCACAACCATCTATAATGGGATCTGATGCCCTCTTCTGACATACAGATGTACATGCAGACATGGTACTCATACATAATCATTTTTTTTTTTTTTTTGGTTTTTCGAGACGGTTTCTCTATGTAGCCCTGGCCATCCTGGAACTATAGACCAGGCTGGCCTTGAACTCAGAAATTCACCTGTCTCTGCCTCCCAAGTGCTGGGATTAAAGGCATGCGCCACCACTGCCCGGCACATAATCATATTTTTAAAAACAGGGTCTCCCTATGTAGTTCTGGCTGTGCTAGAACTCATTCTGTAGAATATTCTGAACTCACAGAGATCTGCCTACCTCTGTTTCCCATTGTGCTGGGATTAAAGGCATGTGCCATCACTCCCATTTTTTTAAAATACATTTTTAAAAAGTTGTTGAGTTTTGTCTGCATGGATATATGTGCACTGGGTGTATGCCTGGTGCCCAAGGAGGCCAAAAGAGGATGTCGAGTTCCCTGAGATTAAAGATGTATACCACTATACCCATTATTTTTTAGGCAGAGTCTTGTTTTGTAGCTCTAACTGGCCTGGAGCTCATATAGTCTAATCTTGCACTTTTAACAATCCTGCCTCAGCTTTTCGCATGCTGGGATTACATATGTGTATTACCAGTCTGTTTTGTTTCCTTTTTACTTCAAATACATAAAACAATGTTGTTAATAGGGGTGGTTCATGCCTATAATCCCAGTACTTGGGACACTAAGATCATCATAGTCTCCAGTTCCAAGCTAGTTTGGGCTTTATAGCAAGACCTTATTTTAAATAACTTTTTTGAGACAGGGATTCTCTGTATAGCCCTGGCTGTCCTGGAATTCACTCTGTAGACCAGGCTGGCCTCGAACTTAGAAATCCACCTGCCTCTGCCTCTGCCTCTCAAGTGCTGGGATTAAGGGCATGCACCACTATTGCCAGGCCTATATTATTTTCGTATGACCAAAACGTACATGCACATTACATGGATGCAGATACTTATGAAGGCCAAAAGATCGCCTGGTACTAGAGCTGTAAGACATGGATGCTGGGAACTGAACCTATCTAAAGATTAGCAAGTGCTCTTAACCACTGAGTAATTTCTCCAGACCCCATATATTATGTTTTGAGGCAGGGTTTTACTATGCAACCCTTGCTGGCCTTGAATTCAGAGATCCTTCTGCCCATGTCTCTCCAGTGATGGGATTAAAAGTGTGTGCCACCAAGCTTGGCCCTATGGTCACTTTAAAGTAACAGGAAGCAAAGAAAGGCAAATCTCTGAGTTTAAGGCCAGCCAGGTCTACAGAGTGAGTTCCAGAACAGCCAGAGCTATGCAGAGAGACCCTGACTCAAAATAACAAACACAGATTTAAAATACATATTATTTGTCATGGCTTTCATGTGGAGGTCAGAGGACAACTTATAGAGGTTGATTCTCATTATTAGGGTTGGTGGCAATTTTCCTTAGATATTTAGCCATCTTCATGTATTTTTTTAATTAAAAAAATTATGGCTAGCAGTGGTTTGGCTTCATGTCTGTATGTGTACCATGTGCATACTGAGTACTGAAAGAAGCAGAAGAGAACATTGGATCCCTGGAACTGGAGTCATAGTCAGTTGTGAGGTACCATGTAGATCCTGGGAATATAAACCTGGATCCTCTATAAGAGAGAAAATCACTCCTCTCCAGATATAAGCTTTCTGATAGGTTATTCAATCACAAGTGGTCAGCCCTAAGCACATGAACATACAAACAACTCTAAATGGATTCAAGGGGAGTTATCAGGAAAGAATATGATAATGTATTCTATAAAATATACAAAAATTCTCAATCAATTAATAAAAATATTTTGTTAATCCTGGCAGTGGTGGTGCACACATTTAATTCCAGCATTTGGATCTCTGAGTTTTGAGTTCAGGGCCAACCTGATCTACATCTTCAATTCCAGGACAGCCATGGCTACCAAAAAAAAAATCCTGTCTGGAAAAACACTTTTAAAAAACTGTGGGGCTGAAGAAATGGCTCAGTGGATAAGAGCACTGACTGGTCTTCCAGAGGTCCTGAGTTCAAGTCCCAGCAACCATATGGTGGCTCACAACCATCTGCAATGAGATCTGATGCCCTCTTCTGGTGTGTCTGAAGACAGCTACAGTGTATTCATATAAACAAAATCTTTAAAAAAAAACTGTGTTAAGAAGCGAGATAACAGGCTGGGCAGCAGCGGTGGTGGCGCACGCCTTTAATCCCAGCACTTGGGAGGCAGAGGCAGGCGGATTTCTGAGTTCAAGGCCAGCCTGCTCTACAGAGTGAGTTCCAGGACAGCCAGGGCTATAAGAGAAACCCTGGCTGGGGGGGGGGGGGCAAGAAGAGAGATAACAGGTCAAACAAACTTTTAAAAACATATGCAACCCTATCTTGGATTTCTGGTTTTTGAGATTTTTTTAAAGACTAAAATTTTTTCATATGTACAGCTATTTCACTTTCATATATGTTTATAATACCTAACATGGATGTCTAGTGCACGTAGAAGTCAGAAGAGGGCATTAGCTCCCCTGAGAGTAGAGCTGCAGACTGTTTATGAACCACCATGTGAATGCTGGGAACTAAACCTGGGTCCTCTGAAAGAGCAACAAGTATTCTTAACCATTGACTCATTATCTCTGCAACCCAGAACTTTTTAATTTTCATTTTGAGACACTGTCCTGGAACTCCAATATGTAGATCAGGGTACCCTTAAATTCAAAGAGATCCCTCTGTTTCTACCTCCTAAGTGCAGGGATTAAAGGTATGTAGCACCATGCCTGGATAAAAATTTTTAATATTATATTAATATGTATCCAGGACAGAAAACTGTTGGGATTATCATTCACCGTGTGAAGGTGTGTATGTCCTTCCTCACCTGCTTAAGGCACCTCCTGACTTGTTTAGAGGATAGGCAGGACTTCTGGGCAGAGAAGGTAGATTCTGGGAAAGTCAGAGGAGGGAGATTCAGGACATATGGGACTATGGAGAGGTAATGAGCTATTTGGCAGAATATAGAAATGGGTTAAATTAAGAGCTAGGGGCTAGAGAAATAGCTCAGCAGTTAAGAACATTGACCACTCTTCCAAAGGTTCCGAGTTCAATTCTCAGCAACTACATAGTAGCTTATAACCACCTGTAATGAGATCTGATGCCTTCTTCTGGTGTGTCTGAACACAGCTACAGTGTGCTCACATGCATTAAATAATATCTAAAAAAATATTAAGAGGTAGTTGGGCTGGGCAGTGGTGGCAGTAGCTTTAATCCCAGCACTTGGGAAGCAGAGGCAGGTAGATTTCTTAGTTCATGGCCAGCCTGGTCTACAGAGTGAGTTCCAGGTCAGCCAGGGCTATACAGAGAAACCCTGTCTCAAAAAACAAAACAAACAAAAAAAAAGTGGTAGTTGGGAGCAAGCAAACTAAGGCCAAGCTTTCATAATAAAAGGTCTCAATGTCATTATTGGTAACTGGTGCCGAAGACACAGCTTGGTTACATTTGGCACCCCACATCGGTGCCAGCTCCCAATAATGACAAAGACCTTTCATTAATATGAAAGCTTGGCCTTAACTTAGGCTTGCTCCCAACTAGCTCTTATAACTTAAATTAATCCATTTATACTAATCTGTGTTCTGCCATGTGGCTCATAACCACTCCTCAGTACCAGTCACCTATTTCTTCCTTCGTGTCTGGCTGATGAACCTCTGGCTTCTGATTCTTTCCCAGAGTCCCTGTCTCTGCCCAGAAGTCCTGCCACTCAGCTCTTTATTAAACCAATCAGTAGGCACTTTAGGCAGATTGAGGAAGAACAGAAACATTTTAATACAGTATACAAAAAGAGTATCTCCAAAGGCCGGGCGGTGGTGACGCATGCCTTTAATCCCAGCACTTGGGAGGCAGAGGCAGGTGGATTTCTGAGTTCGAGAGTTCGAGGCTAGCCTGGTCTACAGAGTGAGTTCCAGGACAGCTAGGGCTACTCAGAGAAACCCTGTCTCGAAAAACCAAAAAAAAAAAAAAAAGATTATCTCCAAAGAAAACCTGGATCTGAGCAAGAATAATCAGGCAAAGAGTTAAGATACCCATGGGCACACTGTAGTCTTTGAATCTACCACCATGCCACCAATCCCAGGAGTTGAACAACAATGTACTGGCATCATGCCTCATTTCTTTTCTATTCTTGTCACCTTAGATGATGCTGTTAGCCTCTCCTGACTAAAGTATCTGCATGTGTTGTCATACGCAGTTTTGCCTACATTTCCCATAGGCTTATCCGGATACACATTTGATTACATATTACTTATCTTTTTAAGTGGTTATAAGTACTTCAGGGAGTAGGCCCAGAAATAAAACCCACAACCAAAACATAGACTTATCAGTGGGTAGCATTTAATTCCTTCCCCAAGACCAAGCATAACCAAAGGGAAAAGCCACACTGATTTTTGAGACCTAAAACCAAACACCTGTGCCACAGCAGCCCAGCTCCCACCCCAGTAGGAAGAACCAACAAGGTAAAAATAAACATGTTTATTATTGTGTCCACAAAAGCAAAGCTAGGGTGGCCTTTGTTAATACCCCCTGAAAAGGTGACAACAGGCATGCATGACAACTACCACTGCCACCACCAAGTTTTCCTCTAATGAAGTGAGGCCCTCCCCATCAGATCCCCCCTTACCCTAAAGGTCAGAGGCAATATGGCTAGGAGGCTCCAAAGGAAGGTACATGTGGACCTACTGGGCTGTAGAAGGCCAGCATTTGCTGCTTCCTTGGCAAGATGAGGTGGGAGACAAGCAATCCCCTAGGCTAGACCCTGCACCCCCTAACTAGAATACACAAAAAAGCCCATACCCACCCCACCCCCCAGCAAACACTGCTAAGGCAATCAGCCAAAACTCCTGTTAAGAGCTGCTCTGAAACCAATACCCTTAGGGATCCATCCAGAAGGGGTTACCTTCTTCGGCTTGTATGGAATAGTAAACAAAGAGCAGAAAGGCAGCAAAAACCAGGAAGAGTAACAGTTGGCCCCAGAGTGGGACCTGTCGATCCTGGCCCAGAGCGGCAGCAGGGGCCTGCTTTTCTGGCCGAATGGCACGTCGGGTAAGCCATGAAGAGGGAGAAGATGAAGAGGTAGAGGATGTAGGAAAATATGATAAGCCTAGGGAGCTCCTGGAGACATTGGAAATGGGGCGGTAGTGTGCGATGCTCTGGTAGGCACTGTCTCGACCATAGATGGGGCGTTCCCTGTGGCAAAAGAAGGGGACAGGTAGGCAGGAGAGTCTGAACCTCAAATTTGTTCCTGTCCTACATGTGTTCACTACTCACCTATCCTTGCTTTCCTCTTCTGAAGAAGAGAAAATGTCATCACGCACCTGGGGGATAATTAGGATTAGAAACGGGGAAGAATGGTTTCCCCCAAAAGTCTCTGGCTAGCTTACTCTAATCACATCCTAGGGGCCAGAAAATTGCCTGCCCAACCATTCTGGGTCCATGTCCTCTTTATCTGTGGGGCCTTGCCACTCAGTTACTAACCCTGTCAACTTTGTCCCAGCATCTTTTTATTCCCCAGGATTCTTAGGAGGCTTAAACCTATATCCTAGAGTGCAGGAGCTGTTACATATTTTCTGATCAAAAAAGTTTGTGGGCTAGAGAGATAGTTCAGTGGTTAAGAGCACATATTATTCTTCCTAGGTGCCTGAGGTCTATTTCCAGAACTTATATGGTACAGGTAGTTTACAACTACCTGTAGCTCTAGCTCTAAGGGGGATCTGACAACTCTGGCCTCTGCAGGCACTAGCACTCATGCATACTACCCACAGACACATACATGCAGTGAGAATTCTGGAATTTTGGTTTCTTTTGAGAAACACAGAAATATTGTAAGAATATGTTTCTGTTTTAATCCTAGGTGTGGGATACAGGGCTGCTTCACAGCAGCTGATTATGATTTGCCTCGTGCTTTTAGCAAAGGTGTGGTTTTGCAAGTTGCAGACAGTTTCTGCAATTGTGTGTTACTTGGAATTCTGGGAATTTTTCTTTCTTTGTTTTTTTGGGAATTTTTCAGAGGGTATGTAAATACTATAGTCCCGATGTGTGGGGTTTGTTGCAGTTTGTTAGTAGCTGGGGTCAAAAAAGACACAAGGAAGAAAGAAATTAGATTCAGGGATTTTCATTTCTCTCACCCTTCTATCCTTCTTTCTCTCCTATCTAATGATTGGGGGGTGAAACGGGTGAGGGAGGACACCAACAAACTAACAAAAAATTGGCTACACATATGTATAATTAAAGTAATTAAATCTTTAAAAGAGCCAACCCCCCAAAACATTTGTGTGTGCTACTGCAGATGAAACCATAGGTAAATGCTCTTCCATTGAGCTATATGTCCATCCCCAAATCTAATAGTTTTGGAGGTTCCAACATAGAACATTTAACCCAACAGCTGTATGCTGACCCTAACTATATTTGAAGGCCTAAGATCTACTCTCTTCACCTAGTATCTCCTTGAACTATCCAAACCTAGAATTCCCTAAGGCTGCATCCCAGGTATGCCTACCAGCAAACTCACCTGGTGATGGAAGGTATCAGCATCTACAAGTGAGGTCCCCAGCTGGCGGAAGCTCTTGGACATGCCCACGGACTCAGGCTCCCCATATGTCCTGGTGGTCAGATAACTCTCCTCATAGTAGTCATCATTATAGTCTTGGGGAGGAAAACAGTGGTAGAGGAAAAAGTGGTGCCCCTTAACTGGCCACACTCCGAGGGGGTGAGGTCTGGGGTTTCCCTGTGCCCAAATCCCTGAAGAGTATAGGATAAAGACATCAGTGCCCATCCCATACCTGCCTTACCCTTGCTCTGGTAAAGTAAGGCGTCCTCTTTTTTGGGCAAATCATACATGTCTGAGTCCACGGAGGCTGAATCCAAGTCTGCATGTGGAGGAGGAGGTACAGGACCATTTGATCTCCAGGCTTCCCCCTACTCCCTCAGTAGCTTCAGCCACACCTTCCCTCCCTAAGCCTTGTGCCCCGAGCTGCTCTTTGGGGCTCTGCGGTTAGGGGCTCACCTGAGAACCGATAGGAGAATGAAGACGATGACGAGTTGGGGGGCGAGAGCCTCCTTCTCTGGGTCTCGTACTCAAAGATTTTCTTTTCGTAGAGCTTGCGAGTGGAGCCTGCCCAGACACAGGGTGCGAAGTGTTCAGGGGACGAGAGCCGAGCACCCCAAGAACACAAGGGAACACGGGAAGGGGACTTGAGGGGGGTAGGAGGTGGGGACAACGCTCAGAGAGGAGCGCGGGAAAGTGGGGGACTGAGAGAGGTTCTGAGCGCCACCGGCTGCAGCATACCCACAATAGGCCCATGCGGGATGTTGTACTGGCGTAGCACTGCGGCCAGCTCAGTATCAGACAAAACCGCATAGTCGTCCATGGCAGACTCCGCCAGCACCTGGAAGCGGTGTTGAACGCCAGGGGCGGCCGGGACCTATAGACAGGGCCCAAGAAACAGACAGCTCCGAGCCTGGCAGAGGAAGCGCCAGAGCCTCAAGAGCGGCTGTGGGCGCGTCACGCCGCCGTCACGTTTACGTCACAGCCGCTGCTACGCAGGTTGCGCGCGCTCCTCAGGGCTGGCCTAAACCCGCCAGAACAGCCGGTGCAGACTCGTCTAGCTGAGGAAACTGACTGGGCGTGAAACAGAAAGCTCACACTTGTGTGCGATTGGCTCGAACAGGAAGGGGGCGGGGCTTGCAGGGAGCCTGTGAGGCAGCCAATGAGACTTCCTTTGAGAGCTAGGCCGCCGTGGGGCGGAGCTAGTTAGACTTCACCAGAGGGTCCTTTAGAGCGCAACTTAATAAGATAAGAGGAGCAGCAAGTGCTCCTTCTCAGCAGGCGAAAACCGGCACGTGATTTGCCAAGCTGTGAGATCTGACATACTTTTTGTTACTGACTTCATCCTGATTTTATCCCCCTGTGTTCTAGTGCCTAGAGTTCTTTTTTTTTTTTTTTTCTTTTTCTTTTCGAGACAGGATTTCTCTGTGTAGCCCTGGCTGTCCTGGAACTCACTCTGTAGACCAGGCTAGCCTCGAACTCAGAAATCCGCCTGTCTCTGCCTACCAAGTGCTGGGATTAAAGGAACCCTGGCTGAACCTAGGGTTCTCAGCCACAGTGCGGTCCACAGCAAGCCAAGAGTCCAATCCAATGCCTTCCAGAGCTCCTGACGCTGCTGCGAGCTCTTTGTGTGTACAAGTGCTGTCAGACAGGCCTCTCATCAGCTAACATAGCCACACACAGACCCCTGGCACTCCCTACCCATCTCCGCTGGTTTTCCCAGTCTCCATGCCCCTGGCCTGCCCACCTGCACAGGCTCATTCCCACCGTCGTCTTCTCTGCTGCCTAGTTCTATCCGGGAGGAAATGGGGCCAGTACTGGGCCAAGTGGCCGCCAACACTACAGGATCAAGCAGCTTTCCAAAGGTCCAGGACATGCCAATGGGTACAATTAGAGGTTACCTGCCATGTGATGCATGTAGATCGATAGACCTTGTACCTGCCTAACTCATCGTTCCATCCACCTTGGGCCCTGAGGAGTTCTGGGGAGAGAGGTCTTCTCTGGCAGAGTAGAATAGCCTCTAAGCTTGGTGTGACCTTAGAAGCCTAGACAGTGTGCAAAGCCTACAGCAGTGGTTCCCAATCTTCTTAATGCTACGACTCTTTAATACAGTTTCTCATGTTGTGGTGACCCTCCCCCAACATAAAATTATCGTGTTGCACTTCATAAGTGTAATTTCGCTATTGTTATAAATTATAATACAAATATTTGCTATGCAGGATATCTGATGTGAGACCAATGGGATATCGACCCAGAGGTTCCAAACTACTGGACTAGAGACAAACCATGGGAATTGATGGAGGCTTCCTAAGGATCTGGATCAGAGAAACATTGAAGAGTGACCGTGACCATTATATTCTACGCAAAGTCATGTGGATGTTGGTAGGGTGTCCGTTATTGGGAGATCTAGAGGAAAGTGTACATGCAGAAAAGGTTCGTAGGATGCCTGATCTCTTAAATCAACCTTTCTAATGCTGTGACCCTTGTTGTGACCACAACAGTTCCTCATGTTGTGGTGACTCCCAATCATAAAATATTTTTTGTTACTTTATAATGATAATTTTTGCTACTCTTATGAATCATAATGTAAATATTTTTGGCGATAGAGGTTTGCTAGAGGGGTTGCAACCCACAGGTTGTCTTAAATGATAGTGATAGTGAGTACTCTGGTCAGTTCTAGGCTGGCCTGAAGACACTTTAGTGAAGGTCACAGGCCAGTTCTCTATGGAAATTTAAAGTAGGCAATGGTGAGGAGGTGGAGCCCAGTTTTAACCACATACAAAGTGCTTAATGAAGAAGAGTTGCTGTTGGATGGGTTTAAAAGACAGTGCACACTCTGTCTCTGGAAATGGAACTGTATGAATCTCTGGAGAAGATGCTGTGTTAAGGAAAGACAGGAGAAAGTTCTTGGGCAGGAGTGTGTGTGAGTTAAAGAGAGAAACAGACACAGACACACAGAGAGACAGAGAGAGAGAGAGACAGAGAGAGAGACAGAGAGAGAGACAGAGAGACAGAGACAGAGAGACAGAGACATTCTGCCCATTAAGTGGCTGCTTCATGATTTTTTTTTCAGTTTCTGCAAAATCAGATTTTCCAGCACCCCCATCCCCCTCCCCCTGTGCTGGCCCCTCTCCCAGAGGCCTCTGCATACAGAATGAATTCTCAGTACTCCCCTCCCCCGTACAGAATCAAGTTGCTTCCTTATGAGGTCAAGGAATTTTAGGCTTGCCTTCTCCCTAAGGAACACCCTCTGCACCTGCCTCAGCCATCTGCCTCCTAATCCCCCTACTATCCTACTATAAGATCCTATCACAGATGTTACCAGGAAGCTATACTGTGGTCTTCTTGCACATACTGTCTAATGACTTAGACCTTACATCTAGCCCCACTGCAGTGTAGCTTCCTTCTCTATCATTCAGCAGAAGAATCAGGATTCCCGAGTTGAAAGAGGCTTTTGCAACAGCTTCAAGTTAAGTGTTTCATGGAAATATTCACAGGAAGTCATCTAGGTGCTGCAAGACTGGCTTTATACCTCAATCAGAATTTGTCAGAGGGGCTAGAAGGATGTGTGTAGAGGGCATTCTGTGGGTCTCTGGGAAATTCTGAGGAGTAGCCCTTTGTCAGGTGTGGCTAATTGAGAAAAAAATCTTGGAAGCAAACCATTCTAAGATTAAGAAAATTGTTGGTCCTGTAATTCCACCCAGCAGTCAGGAATTTGAGGCAGGAGAATTGAAAGTTTAAGGCCTGCATGAGCTTCAGGGTGAATCAAGGCCACACTGGGTAACTTGGTGAAACCCTGTCTCAAAATCAAAAGTAAAATGGGGGCTTGGGGTGTAGATATTTTGGTGGTAGAGAACTTGGGTGGCATGTATTAAATTTTAGATTCAATCTCAAAAACTGCTACCTCCTTAAAATTATGAGGATAGGTCTACATGAAAGCGTTTCTTTAGAACAAGAAGAATATGTTTTTAATTTAGTATGCCTTTTTTTAAAACCAAGGAACAGTTAATTCATCTTCCTACCCCATATCTGATTACCATGTCTGTGGGTAAATGGGTTTCTCCTCTAAAAGGACAGTCATTTCAACTCTGGTGCAGCCACCTCATGAACCTGAAATCAGGCCAATAATTTAGCAAATAATGATAATCCACCGGCCTCCTTAGTAGATGTTTCCAACTAGACAGAACAGGTAGAGACCTTAGTCCTATTTGGAGGCCAGAATGTGAAATGTCATTGCCAGCAGAGCCAACAAAACTAGCAAGGGATGCATACTCCCTGGAGAGGACCCCGGCACTTTGCTCTTCAAGTTAAACTACAGATCATCAAATTGACTCTGCAGATATGGTCAAACTCCCCTACTCACTCTTCTTTCTGTCTTTGTTGTTTGTTTGTTTGTTTTTGAGACAGGGTTTTTCTATGCAGCCCTGGCTGTCCTGGAACTCACTCTGTAGACCAGGCTGACCTGGAGATTCCCCTGACTCTGCCTCCAGAATGCTGGAATTAAAGGTATGTGCCACCACTGCCCATTTTTTCCCATTCCTTCCTTCCTCTCCTTCTCTTCTTTCTTCCCTTGTAGCTTGCCCTTCCTCCCCTTTCTCACTCTTTCTTCTTACTGTGTAGCCTAGGTTGACCTGGAACTTGGAATACTCTTGTCTTAGCCTCCAGAGTGCAAGAATTCCAGGTTCCTTCTCTTTTTGATAATATAGAGTAGGAAAACAAATCAAACAAGCCTGTCATTCCAGCACTTGGGAGGCAGAAATAAGGGTAATTGCCACTTCAAGGCCCAGTTTGGGTGTTATATAGTGATTTCCTGATCAGCCTGAGCTACAGAGTGAGGTCTAGTCTCCCCCAACATACATGCACACGCACACACACCCTGGAATATATTGTAGGTGGTAAAGTAAACCTCATTTGCAATATCTATTTCAGTTGTGTGTGTACACACAGGCATGATGCAACTATAGCTCATATTGGGGTTGTAGGGAAAAAATAACAATATTGAAATGGAATTTCTTTATGTGGCCTTCCCCTAGGAAGTGACATTTGAGTTGAATCTGAAGCTACCAGGAAATGGCCATGTAGAAGAGGAAGAGAGAGCTTGACAATATTAGGTAATGGCTATGCCCACTAAGTTCACAGATATTTGGTTCTTTGTACCACATTGCACATTTCCAGGGTTTGGGACTGTATCTGGTTGCTTTGAGAATTCACTGTATTTCTTCTGTTTGCTCTCAGGCACCTAACAGGGACCAAATCAATGATAGCTGGGGGTGGGGGTGTCATCACAGGGCTCAGGGACCTACTGGGGTCTTAGGAGTGGTTGGTGCTCACTACAATTAATTACCTGTTATCTTTCATCCTGTGGAGCAAGATTTGACCTGTGTGGTCAACCCCGGCTTGCTCAGAGACAGAAGGCTGTGACTGTGGGGAACTCCTCAGAATAGGTGGCCTTGGAACAGAGCCTCCTTTCCAGCCAGGAAACACTTGGCTCCCCTACACTCATCTAGCCTCGTAAAGGCTGGGTCTAAACATAGGGTTTGCAGACCCTGCTCTGGAGGTGAGCCCTACTCCTTGAAGCCTGGCAACCTTCACGGAACAGTGAGCTCATTCTGGGGGGCGGCATCGCCAGTTAGCGGGGCACTTGAGCTCGTGGCGAGCCCCGCACCCCCTCCCTGCCCCCAGCTCCCGGGCGATTTTTACCAATTAAGGCTTTCTTGCCCGGCCGGGCGCGGGGCGGGCGTGGGGCGGGGATGCAGCGAACAAGAAGGCGGGCGGCAGCGACCCATTCGCGTGGAGGCGCGCGGCGCGCAGCAGACGCCAGTGGAGCTCCAAGGCTTCCGGCGCGGGCGCGGAGAGCTGGGCGCCACCCCGCGGTTGCAGGAACAGCAGGTGAGGGCTCTCTGTGGTCAGCTCCACGCCGACTACTCCTCAGGTAGTGGATGGGCGGCTCCTGAGCTGGAGAGAGGTCTGGAAAGCAGTCAGAGAGGCCAAGGTCAGGTACAGGTTGGGTATGGACAAAGGTGCCAGGCATCGCGTTGGTGTCCAGATATAGCCTTGCATAGTTTACCACAAACTTATTG